TGAATGCTGCGCGGCGGCCCCGGGCCATACTTGCGAGCAGCTACTTTACGAGTAGTGGAACGCGCTTGCCTACTCGAGACCTCCCCACAGGTCTGAACAAAGTTAGCTGTACCTGCCACCCCGCCACCGTGCCTGGGTTGTGGGTCTACGGCCTCTTGGATACTCTCTGGGATCTCGTCGAGGCCCCTCGAGGGCCTGGAGGCAGTCTTGATGCCTCTAGGGTAGCTGTTTCGGGGCCTCTCTGGGGCCTCTTTTGGGCATCTTGGGGGCCTCTTGGGGCATCGTGGGGGCCTCTTGGGGGCCTCGGGCCCTCTTAAGGGCCTCTTGGTGGCGCAGTGCCCGAAATGTTCGTCCGGGTCCCCCGTCTGGGCCCCCTCCTGGAGCCGCCTTGGGGGCGCTTGGGCCGTCTTGGAGGCGCTGAGCCGTCTTGGAGACCTCTAGTCGAGTCTTGAAGCCCTTTTGGATCGTTCTGCGGCCCTCTCGGAGGCCCCTTGTGCCGTCTTGGGGCGGTCTTGAATGCCTCTTGGACCGTCCTGGCGCGTCGGGAAGCTGAAAAAGCGAGCACGCCCAAATCTTTCAAACAAATGAACCCCGCGCGAGCCTAATCAGGTGACAGCTTCCTATTGCATGGGCGCAGTGCTTGGCACTGCTTTGCATTGCTTGGCATGGCTCGGCAGTTCGTGACATTGCCATTGCTGCTCGCCATGGCTTTCTATTGCTTGGCATTGATTGCCATCTTTTTTGTTGCTTGCCGTTGCTTGCCATTGCTTGGCTTTGCATGGCTTTGCATGCCATTGCTTGGCATTGCTTGGCGTTGCTTGGCTTTGCATGGTATTGCTTGTCATTGTTTGCCATTGCTTGCCATTGCCTGCCTCGGGAACCCGGGGAACATCAGGAACCCGAGGACCCCAAGGAATCCGCGGAACCCGAGGAACCCGAGGAACCAGGCACCGCACAAAGTAAGCCCCCGAGGCCTCATTCATCATAAACATGTAAGAACACTTTAGGCAAGCCCAATTGGGGAACTAAAGACAATACAGGCTGTTTGCCTCTAGGGAGCCTCTTGGAGGCCTCTTGGGTCGTCTTGGGGCCATTTTCGGCCGTCCAGTGGCCATCTTCGGCGTCTTGGACCGATCGTTCGATGAGTCGAAACCCTTTTCGGCCGTCTTTGGGGCCTCTTGGGATCCTCTTGGCCCGTCTTGGGGCTCCCTTGGCGTCGCAATTGCCCGAGAGCGCCTTGGAAACCGGAGATCTGGCCCTTTGATAACCTTTAAGAATCACAAGACCTCTACCGCGCAGAGCTGCATGAGCCTTGCGACACTCCAATACGTGCCGAAGGCACGGTGGCGGGTACTGTATATATATGTATATATAGATATGGAGAGAGTGAGAGAGAAGGGTCTCTATATATACATATATATATATGTATGCACACATGTCCGAATAGTTGTACACATGCATCTATATACGTGTATCTAGATATACATATGTATCCGCATGCGGACATGTATATACGCATCTGCATATCCATACCTGTAAACAGGTAGACGGACGTAGACAGAGAGAACAAGGGAGAGAGAGAGAGAGAGAGAGAGAAAGAGATCACAAGCAAGAGAGACATATAAGGAGCATTCTCACGATGTTTCGGAATGCGTCCCGACGAGCTCCCAGGGTATATCCCCTGGCAAGCTCACGGAGAGAGGGACAGATCGAGAGAGAGAGAGAGAAACAAACAAACAGAGGTCGAGAGAGATGGCGAGAGAGAACGAGAGAGAATAACGAGAGACAGAGGGAGCGAGAGAGGAAGCGAGAGAGAGATAGAGAGAGAACGAGAGTAAAAGAGGCCCTCTGGTCTTAAGTTCTTCGCTATTTTCGCTTCCCACCCCACCCTGACCCTTCCTCGGCCAAGGACCGTCACATGTCATTCAACCATTCATGATTCATGATGAAAAGCCGTTCTCGGGGGACAGGGCCCGTTTCCATCATGATTGCATTCCTCATGGAACTCCTCAGAGCTTCCAGAGCCGGTCCTGTCTCGTCCGTGTGCCTGCCGACGACGCGCCATCGAGTCGGCCTGGCGCTGGGCACAGGACGGCGTCACCGAGGTGCAGACCCCAATGAACTTTGCAGTCGTTGACTCTTTCACCCGGCTGGTGTACTGCATGATGAAAGGCTTGGACAAGGCAGCACGATCAACTTGTTGCAGCGCTCTGGGGATGATGTGGAGGACGAGTGCGACGGAGGGGCAGAACTATGATGACGACGACCATGATGACGATCAGTCGACGCTGACCGATGCTGTGAACGACGGATCAGTCAATACTACGATAGTTGCGAACGCCGAATCGTCATCCGCCGTGGCGAGCGCAACTGTCAACGGAGCCGCTTCTCTTGGGGCCACTCGGAGGCCTCTTGGAGCCCCTTCGGGCCCTCAGGGGGGACTCTTGGGGGTCTCTTGGGGGCCTCTTGTGTCCTCCTGGGGGCTTCTTGGGACGGAAAGCTCGGATGTTCGATTCATCTTCCCCCTCTTGGGCGCCTCTTAGGGCCGTGCTGAGGCCATATTGGGCCGTCTAAGGCGCCGGTTGGGCCGTCTTTGGGGGCGGCCTCAGGGGGCCTCCTGGGCCATCTCGGAAGGTCGGCAAGACGGAGAGGCCAAACCCCTTTCAAAGTTCCAGGTTCGGGCCTCGGGGGGCCTCCTCGGGCGTGCTCCTCGGGCTCCCTCGGGCCCTCCCGGCGGCCTCCTCCTCCTCCTCCTCCTCCTCCTGCTCCTCCTTTTCCTCCTCCTCCTCCTCCTCCTCCTCCTCCCCCTCCTCCTCCTCCTCCTCCTGCGGCCGCCCTGGAGCCCCCCCCGGGGGGGCGCCCCGTGCCGGTCGCTCGGAGAGCGCCGAGTATAGGCCCTCCTTTGGAGCGCCTCGCGGGGGCCGCCTGCGGGCCTCCTCCTGCGCCCGCCTTCCCGGGGGGGCCCGGGGGCCGGACCCGAGCGCTGTCTTTGCTGGGCCTCCTCCTCCTCCTCCTCCTCCTCCTCCTCCTCCTCCTCCTCCTCCTCCTCCCCCTCCTCCTCCTCCTCCCCCTCCTCCTCGCCCTCCTCGCCCTCCTCCCTCCTTCCCCCCGGGGCCGGACCCGGGGCCGGACCCGTGCTCGAAGGGGCCCTGGGACACACAAGTACATATACACAATTAGAAGGATCCCCTATATCTTCCCATGCTTTTTGGGTTTCTGTCTCCCCCCCCCCCACTTCCCACATTTTCGCCTATTTTCTGGGAGGCGACGGATCATTGTGTCCGTGTGTTTGTTCCCCTCCTGAGTGCTGTCAGGTTTTCTCTCCTTTTGGCAGGCAGGCGCCGGGAAGCAGGAAGAGCAAAGCGAACAGCAGCACGAACACGACAAAGACACACCGGAAGCACAGCAGCGAAAAAACGAGACACGACAACGAACACGAAGACGCAACGAAGAGCAGCACGAGCACGAAAGCACCACGAACAACGCAACGAGAACAGGTAGAGCAAGACGAACAGCAAAACGAGACCACACGGAACAGCAACGTGCAGGTCCAGCCCCGCCTCGTCGCCCGGCCTGGGGCCCTCCAGGGCCCGCAGGAGGCATGCGGGAGCACGCCTCGCGAGACGCGCTGGGCCGCCGGCAGCACGAAGGGGAGCCCGGGAAGAGGGGTGCACTTCGGGCTTCGGGCCCCTTTCCAGACTCCTCGGGGTTGATGTCTGAGGGGCAAGGGGCCACAGCGTCGACGTGGGCTGCTCTCGCCGTGCTGCCCAGGCCTCCTGTAGACCTCCTTCCCGATACCCAACGGGGAAAGGATCACACAATACAAGAAAGCTCCAAGCCTACACCAGCTGCTGCACAGCACGTACTCTTTGTCTTCAGGCTGGTCAGCGCCCAGGAGATTGTGAGGCAGGTGCTGGACCCATGCTGTCAGCGCACAGGGGCCACAGCGGGGGCCCATGCCAAGGAGCACTCCGCCTGCGTCCAGGGTGCCCTGGGCTTCGTGGGCGTCGATGGTTCTGCGATGGGGAGCGCGACGGTCCCACGCCAAAAATCCATGGACGTCGTGGGGTCGCAGGGCCTGGGTTTCTTGTGGAAGGTTTCTTGTGGACGACCCCCTATTGTAGGCCAACGACCCGAGGACACTCCAACTCGTGCCTCAAGAGCACGGTGGCGGATATACATACATATGCATATATATATATATATATACACACATGTGCGTACGAAAAGGAGTGGAATAGAGAGAGAGAGGGAGAGAAAGAAAGAGAAAGAGACAGAAGGACGTGGACGATCGCGGCGGCGGCGACGACGACCACGACCACGACGACCACAACGACGCCGAGAGAGCGCTCGGAGGTCCAGATCCTGACGCGAGCTCTGGGCGCCATCACCAAGGAAGCGGCAGCAGCAGATCTGCAGTGCCGCTGGGGCTCCTTCCTCTGATCCTCCTCCTCGATGCCTCAATTCTGAGTGCGGGTCCATCCCAAGATCGCAGCCCCACCCTGTCCTCCCTTTCCTTCTCACCAAGCTACGTGCGCTCCTCCTCCTCCTCCTCCTCCTCCTCCTCCTCCTCCTCCTCCTTCTCATCATCATCGTTCAACGTGCCCTTCAGAGACTTTGCGAATGGGCCCGCTCATGGCCCAAACGGAATACATGTTGCCGGGCGATCGTCAGCAGGCCCCTGTTGCGGCATGTCGCAGGGGGACAATTATGCTCTAGTTTGGGGCGGATGGGGGGTTGGATGGTGCTTTATCGACTACCGTATGCAGCGTAATAGTGTTTAGTCGAGTCTCGTATAGCCCATCTGCTTTGTTCTTGTCAACGCGTCTTCCCCTCAGTCTCATTCCTCTTCCTCTCCTGAGGGGGCGGTAATGAGGAGGAGACGGATGATACAGGATACAGTGATAAAAGAGAAATCTACAGATAGACAGCCACACACATAATGAGAGAGAGGGGGAGTGAGAGAAGGGGTGATACATGCGGAGATAGATGGGGCGATTATGTAATGACCATTGGAACTCTGTTGAGGCCCTGAGGTGCTCTTAGCCTGCCTCAGGGCTCATTGTGATCCCTCTTGAGGGCTATTGGGCGTCTTGAGGCCGTCCTTGAGGATCTTGGTTCCGTATTGGCGGTCCCTCTTGGTGTTTTGCCGCTCTGCAGGTGCCATTTGGGGCAGCTTTGGCGGCCGCTTCGGGCGCGTAGAACTCCCACGGAGGCCACCTGGGGCTGGCCTGGGACCTTGGGGCCCTCTTTGGCCGTCTTGGGAATTACTGGGGCCAGTGCGGGACAGTCTCGGGGCCTTTATGAACAATCCTGTGATTATAATGGGTCGGGCAAGATTGGACGCACGGAACACGTGTTGGCATCTCCTGAGGTTTTTCGAGGCATGTTGTGGGGGCTCTGTGGATCGTCTTAGAGGGCTTTCAGGCCAGACATCGTGGGTCTCTATATGGATCGTCACGGCTCTCGCGCTGAACATGCATCATTTGGTCAACTAATAGCATGCAGGATGTGGGTGGGGGATGTCCATGTCCTGGGGCCGTCTTAGTCTTGCCTCGCGATCCCCACCTCGCCAGCTCCTCCTGGCATGCGGTGTTCGCATACCTTGTGTTCAGCTTCGCGTCGATCGAAAAGAGGGAGGGAGGAAAACGGAGGTGGAGGGGAGGATTGTTCAACATCCACTGGGCAGCTGCCCTGAATGAGCCCAGGCTGGTGGAGGCACGCTGACCTGGGGCCAGCCCACAGGGAGTTGCTCACCTGCTGGCAAATGCGGCTCCTGCCATGGCGTTAACATCGCAGAGCGGATTTCGTTCGGAAAACGATCAGATGGGCCCGGATTGTCCTGGAGAATGTTGTTCCAGATATCGAGGTGAATTTCGTGCGGATCTTTTTTGACCAGGAATGCAGACTACGAATAATCCACGCGAAATTCATGTCGTTGTTCGCTCGCCGTTTCGGTGGGTTTTGCATTGACAGAAATACACGGAACAAAATCCGCTGCAGCACGTTTGCAAGGTCGGCGCAATGACTCCTGCACAGCGAGCGACGAACACACACTCGCGAGCTGGCGCAGGAGTATCGGGAGGAAGCCCTATCCTGAGGTCGGGCCGCCTCGGATGCTCCCCAGTCGCTGTTTTGTTATGCCTGGTCTTGCCATGCATGCGAGCCTCCTTCCAGCAGACGCCAGCAGCACCTTTTTTCTCTGACGAGCGCTCCCTGATGGAGAAACGCGCCGCACTGGATGTACACACAACCATCAGGACTGCCCGAGCAAGCCACGACAACAGAGCCGCGGCCGTTCGCGTCGGCCACGCCTCACTCGGGCTGATTGGATCCAAGGCGCCTTGAAGGAGGAGGTGTAAGGACGAACCTGGACCCAACCCGACAGACTGCACACCTCAAAGTCTTCGAGCGGAGGGCGAGGGATGAAGAGTGAAGGAGGAGAGAGGAAGGGAACGCGACGAGGAGGAGGACAACGGGGAGGATAAGGAGGAGGAGGAGGAGGAGGAGGAGGAGGAGGAGGAGGAGGAGGAGAGGATACGGGGATGAGGAAGCCAGAAGAGGGTACGCGAGGACGGGCAGGAGGATAACCAGGGGCAGGAAGAGGAGGGGAAGGATGAGATGAGAGGGACTACTTTCATTACCGTTGTCGGCGCTTTGTCCGAGGAGCTCCAAAAGGATGCCGCCGAGCAGGGCAGCAGCTTCAACCAGCGTCCGTACTACAGGCCAGGCCTTTGAAGTCTATTTCGGCACAAGGCGGTATTACGGAATGGAATGCCAACATTGCGTCGCTGGCATTTTGATATGGAATTTGCTTGTATTCTTTGGCATGTTACTCTCCAGCGCGACTCGCTCACACCAGAGCCTCTGCGATCTCACGATTGTAGGCTGGAGGCCCCTGGTGCATTGCCGTATCGATTGGGCAATGCTCGAGGTACTCCCTGCCAGGCAGCGCATGGGTGCCGCGCCGATGAGGTGCTTCAGAGAGACATCTCGCCGAGGCCCCCCTTTTGGGACTTGCTAAAGGGGTCCCTGGCCCAGGGTGTTCCCAGCTTCTCGCGCGGACCTCGTCCTCGACCCCGTCCTCGTCCTCGTCGTCGTCGCCCAGTGTTCCCAGCCACCGCGGCCGTCCAGAGACGACCCGTAGAGGAGAACCGGACTCGTCGTCGTCGTCGTCGTCGTCGTCGTCGTCGTCGTCGTCGTCGTCGTCGTCAGCGTCGTCCTCGTCGTCGTCGACGTCGAAGGACCCTCTCCAGAGGTCCGGAAGCCACTATGAGCCCGGGGGCACCTCTCACAGCACGGGGCTGGCCCGAGGCGCCCCCCCGGCAGCGACGCAGCCAGCCCGCCGGAGGCCTCCGGGAGGCACGCGGGGTCTGTCCGTCGTTTCGTCTGCTCGGCTCTGCCCCGTTTGCTCTTCTTCTCGGCCCCAGGGGCTTGGCCTCGCTCTCTCGGGCCGCGGTTCGTTTTCTCTCGTTTCCTCGCTGTCTCGGCCCCTGCGTCGTGGTCTCGGTTTCTCGGACCCGGGTTCGTTCTTTCGTAGTCTCGTTTCTCGGCCGTTTCCTCGGCCCTCTGGAGGAGAAGAGGATCGACGACCACCAGGACAGACGAGAAAGGGGGTTTGGGAATGGGGCTGCCAAGATCTCTGAGGCAGGCCGCCGCTTTCGGCTCCGCCGATGGGCACTTCCCTCGAGGCATATGGTCGCCCCAGTGGGGAAGGAGGAGGAGGAGGAGGAGGAGGAGGAGGCGCCCGAGGAGGAGGAGGAGGAGGAGGAGGAGGAGGAGGAGGAGGAGGAGGGAGAAGGGAGGAGGGAGGATGGAGTATGGAGGATGGAGGGAGGAGGTGGAGGAGGAGGAGGAGGGGGAGGAGGAGGAGGAGGTCGAAGAATAGCATGCGCGTGTGCACGAGACCGTGCTTGGATCGGCGCCAGACCCCCCCCTGGGGGAGGGTGCCGCCCCCGTCTCACTCCGCGCGCCAGGGAGGGACAGCCAGCGCCGAGCCAAGGGATCCGCGCGGACCTCCGAGAGTTTGCCTGTGTGTGCTGTGTGGTGTGCGTGATGGAACACTCCAATGATTGCAGTGGCCTCCAGCCACTGCCGCCGATCCGGGACGCTTCCGTTGCTGCCGGAAGCGCGCGATGGCGGTCACAACCGGCGACGGCGGCGAGCGGTGAGGAAAATGATGAGGATTTGGAATGGAGGCATCGGAGTAGGATGAGGAGGAGGAGGAGGAGGATCATGATGACGTGGAGGGGGGTAGGGGGGGAGGGGCGTGACGGAGGACTCCAATGATTTTGCCCTCTCGTGGTAAGAGGTAGGACGTCCTGCCGTGCGTGATTGCAGTCATCTCACACGGTTGGGGGGCGCCATGGACATACATGATTGGGCGCTCACCCGCGCGAAGCGTCTCTATGGGATCCCGTATCCATCGGATCGCGCCTGGGTGCGGTCCTGATTCTTCAGCCGCGACCCGATGGATCCGTGGCCGAATCGCGGGAACTCCCCCGCGCGAGGCGCACCCGTGGGATCTCGTATCCATCGGATTGCGCCCTGGGCGTCCGGACCGCGAGCGTATGGACGCAGATGCGCGGGCGCTCGCGAGGAGCAGCGTGAGCGTCGGCGGGCGAAGTGTTTTATGGGATGAGCTGTTGCACCTGTCCCACGGCGGCTGGAAAGTTGATGCCTCATCGGCGGTACTTGGGGGTACGGAGAGGATGCTTCGTCAGCGAATCATGGGAGCATCGTGGACCTTCCGGATTTCGTCTTTAACGTCGACTAGCGTCGATCTCAGCGTGCGGGGGTCGATGAAACAGCGCCGATTTAGCGTCGGCTAGGGTCGATCAGCGTCGATTTAGCGCCGACTAGCGTCGACTAGCGTCGATTCGCAGGCGCCGACAGGATGCTATGGGAGGTTCCCATGATATGCCACCGAATTCAACGGCGGGACCCGGGGGTACGAACGGGATTTCCTGCCGCCCCGGGACAGGCGTCGCCGATTGCCAACAGGCTTGCGAAGGGGGACGCAGGTCGCGACGGCGGGCGGCTCGTCGACGTGGTCGCGGGATCACGGTCGGCCTGTCGACTGGGTCGCGGGGTTGGGGGTCGTCCAAGAGGGGTTCGTGGCCGCGGGAGTGCATACCACGGCGGGGGCGGGTTCCTTCGTGTCTCAATGCGTCCGCTGGCCCCGCAGCGGGCAACGCATCCCAGCCACACCCAGCCCACCTTCCCAGGAGACGCGAAACCTGGAGAGCAGGCGGATCTGTTCCCAGGCTCCGGGCCCGAGCCTTCCTATCCCCAGACGGGATTGGTCCCAGGGCCCGGCGCCCCCCCATGGGATGGAGGGACGACGACGACGACGACGACGACGACGACGACGACGACGACGACGACGACGACGACGACGACGACGACGAGTCGAGCGGCACCACAGCAGCACCACCCCACACCCACAGAGGGCGGGGGGACCCATCGGGACGGGGGTGGGGGGTGGGGGGTGGGGGGAGCCATCCCATTTGCATTTGAGGGGGGGCCGGGCCCCCAGGAGGGTAACTGGGCCAGTGTGGATAAAGATCGGCCGGACGGTGCTCATAAGACCCGTCAGCCCTTCCAGCCTGATGTCAAGTCAGGCACACTTCTCCACAGGAGGAACATTCAAGAATAGTAGCACAAATAATCGGTGGACGATTATTTACAAAAAACAATTGGACGATTTTTGAAAATTTGTGGGGTATTCTACGTTTTCCTTCCAAACCCCGCCTGTATGATAATATACCTGACCTAACCCTGATGGTGCGTTCGGTCTGCGCGCAGCGTGTTGCAAGCCTACCGCGCCTGGCGCGCGGCATCGCCCTGCGCGCGCGGCCTTGCAGGCCTCGCCACTCGGGGCGGACGAAACGGGGGATTCGGAGGGGGGGGGCGAAATCTGCTGCACAATGCAGCTGGTTTCGGTTCCGCCGCTGGGCGCGTGGCTCCACACGTGGCCGCCCGTGGCGCTGGGAGGCGCATGAGCCAACCAGCTGTGTGCGGCTGATTTGGCTGCCCCCCTCCCCCTTTGAATAAGTCGGGCGTGCCCCTCTACAGGGGGAATATTCGGAAATAGTCCAAATATAGTCTGGGGACAATTTTCTGTCAATTTTTGAGCATTTCTGAAGTCTGTTTGGGGTATTCATTTGTTTTTTAGTCCAAACTCCCCCTGCAGGGGCACAGGCCCGACTTAACCCTTCGATGATGTCCTTCACCTCCGCCCGCCCCGCAGCCGTCGCGTGTTGCCGGTGGCGACCCCTGGCCCATGGGCCAGGGGTCGCCGGAGGGGCACTCGGCACTCTGCAGAGTGCCCCCCCGGCGTGCTCCGGGAGGCCCAAGCGGCCTCCGGAGCACCGCCCACGATGCTCGGGGAGGGCCCCCGCGAGGGCCCAGGACGGCGCGAGGAGGGGGGGGCACGTTGGGCCAGGATCAAGTCGGGCCTGTCCTCTACAGGAGGAGTGTTCAGAAAGAGTCAAAAAAATAGTCTGGGGACGATGTTTCGACCATCATTATCGAGTATTTTAGGGTATTTTTTGACTCTTTTTCATTTTTCGCTCAGAATCCTTCTGTAGGGGGACAGGCCCGACTTAAGGCCAGGATCACCTCTGAGAGCCTTCGGCTGCGCTCGCGCAGCCCTGCGCGCCTCGCAGCGGGGGGGGGCACGGCTCCCAGGGTCTTCCTGAACCTCCTGGTGGAGATCAGCGCCCCCGACCCCAAGCTCGAGCAGGCCGGCTTCCAGCTCCTGTGCGCCTTCTGCAACACGCTCCTGCAGGCCTCCTCCTCCTCCTCCTCCTCCTCCTCCTCCTCCTCCTCCTCCTTCTCCTCCTCCTCCTGCGCCTCCTCCTCCTCCTCCTCCTCCTCCTCCTCCTCCTCCTCCTCCTCCCGTCCGCCTCCTCTGCTTGCTTCCGGGAATCTGCTTCTTCTTCCGGGAAGACCGTTTTCGCAGCCGCGGATTTGCCAGCTCTCGCCCAGCTTCCAAAAGGAGGAGGAGGAGGATCAGTGTACGGAGCAATGCGTCGCCCTGTCCGAGCGCGAGGCCCGTGCGATCGCCTCCACTGTGGGGTTCGGGCGGCTGCGGTGAGCGTGACTTGGTGGCACAGGCCAGGTGTGTGGAGGAGGCTCAGTGTAAACCCACGGCGCATCAACGACGCTGCACTAAGAAATACCTCCCTCCAAGTTCTCTCATCACAGATCCCTGCGAGACCTGTTTGTCAGTGGGGGAAGTGCCCCACTGGAAGACAACCGCCTGAGAATCCTCAATCGTGCCAAAAAAGTCATCTCTGGGATGTCAGAACCGCGGGTCACAGTGCATGTTGCGTCCTGAGAGTCCAAAATCTTGTCAGAGGACCATTCTTGGGACTTTAACTCCGCGAATCAGCATGACTGTCTGGGATGTCAGAACCGCGGGTCACAGTGCATTTTGCTTCCTGAGAGTCCAAAATCTTGTCAGAGCACCATCCTTGGGACTTAAACTCCGCGAATCAGCACGACTGTTTTGTCCTGGCAACCCTAAACCGCGTAATCACACAACTCCTGAGACTTCAACCCAACGAACTTTTGAACTGGCTTCAAACTTCTTAGACACATGCGTGCGGTGGCGAGAACGCGAGAGCCACATTTTGAAACGGATCCGCCCTCCATCTTTGAAGCTGCTGTGCGCGACGCTAACGCGAGAGCCACATTTTGAAAATGCCTCCCCCCCTCATTGGAACGGATTCAACTTTTTCAGACGACTGTGCGCGGCGTTAACGCGAGAGCTACATGTTGCAATTGTACCGCCCACCACTGTTTGAAATTGCCGCAATCTTTTAGGACGAAAGTGCGCGGCGCTACGCGAGAGCTACATGTTCAACCGCCCTCTATCCTTGAATCGGTTTCAAACTTGTCAGACGAATCTGCACTGCGCTAAGGCGAGAGCCACATTTTGAAATCCACTCGCCCTCAAAATTGAAACTGCTTCAAACGTCAAGCTTCCGGATCATAATTGGTGAGGAAGTCATGCGAAACGTCCAGCTCGACCTATCAACACGTCTGGGGGTGCGACAGGGGAGATTTTGGAGGAGGATTACCAAGCCCGCTACAGACTTGAAAGGAAACCTGAGCCGTCTTTGAGGATGAGGCGGCCGTCGGAATAGTGCTGAAGATCGTGAACCTGCGGAATGCAGGGAAGTTAGTATGTCAGAATCCAGTGCCAAGGCAAGGGCACGCCACAGCGTCAAAGTAAGAGGCACGGCAGAAATCCACCGGCCAGTGGCTGGCGCCATGTGGAAGCGGGGTGCCCGCGGGCACTCGTGCTCCCATGCCTCGTTTTTTTTGGCTCCCAAACCTCCACGGGGTGGGCGCGGCGCGCCGATTCCGGGACAGTCTCACGGGGGCACTGGTCAATGGTGCCTCGCCCTCCAAGTGTCAGGAGGGGAAAAAACACACAGACACAATTAATCGTAGATTCCCAGAAAATATGGGAAAATATGGGAAGTGGGGGGGAAGACAAAAACCCAGAAAATATGGGAAAATATGGGGAATGTTTTTATTTGTGTGTATTTATTTGTGTGTCCTGGGGCCCCTTCAAAGTGTTCCGACACTGGTGAGGGCCATGTCATCGAGCGACAGGTGCATCGCTTGTGTCGCCTTCGCCTGTGCCTCGCCCTCCTGGACCGCTGCGGGCTCCTTCCGAGGGCGGGCGGGTCCGAGGGCGCCACCTCGAGCCACGTGGGGAAACGCTCGGCGGGAGCGGGCGGGCTCAGGGACGCCCATGCGGGCGCTCTGGGGGCGAAGGGATGGAGGATAGAAGAGGAGTATAGGAGGAGGAGGAGGAGGAGGAGGAGGAGGGGGAGGAGGAGAAGGAGGAAGAGGAAGAGAAGGAGAGGGGATGGGGGAGGGATGGGACGGGGAGGAAGGGATGGAGGAGGAGGAGGAGGAGGAGGAGGAGGAGGAGGAGGAGGAGGAGGAGGAACAGGAACAGGAGGAGGAACAGGAGGAGGAGGAAGAGGAGAAGGAGACGAGTGAGAGGAGAGGAAGGTTGGAGAGGGAGATGGAAGGATGCGGCAGAGAAGCAGGAGAAGCAAGTGGAGGCAGCATCACTGGGTTTCGGGAGCACATATAATGTGGTACGTAGCACCCCGCAATTGCGGATAAGAGTGAGCGGGCGGGCGCGGGCGACGCGGGCGTCGAGCCAGCGGACCGCCGCAGGCGCCGGATTTTGGCTTGTTCAGTGAACGTAGTTTGGGTCGCGGGTGGGTCGCGGGCTCTCCACCTCCACCTGGAAAGAATTCAAACAACAGCCCTCCGCAGGCGCCGAACATTTCGATTTGTACACTGAACGCGGTTTGGGTCGCAGGTTCTCCACCTGGAACGAATTCAAAAGAAACTCGCCGCAGGCGCCGAAGTTTTGGCTTGTTCAGTGAACGTAGTTTGGGTCGCGGGCTCTCCACCTCCACCTGGATAGAATTCAAAAACAGCCCGCCGCAGGCGCCGAACATTTTTACGTATTTGTACACTGAACGCGGTTTGGGTCGCGGGTGGGTCGCAGGTTCTCCACCTGTAACGGATGCAAAAGAAGCCCGCCGCAGGCGCCGAAAATTTTGGGTGGGTCGCAGGGTGGGTCGCGGTGGGTCGCGGGTGGGTCACGGTGGGTCGCGGGTGGATCGCGGGCGCGGTTTGGGTCGCGGGTGGGTCGCAGGTTCTCCAAGTGGAACGAATGCCAAAGAAATCCGCCGCAGGCGCCGAACATTTTGTGTGGGCCGCGGGGTGGGTCGAGGGTGGGTCGCGGGTAGGTCGCGGTGTGTCGCGGGTGGGTCGCGGGTGGGTCGCGGGTGGGTCGCGGGGTGGGTCGCGGGTGGGTCGCGGGTGGGTCGCCGGTGGGTCGCAGGTGGGTCGCCCGGGGGGTCTCGGGCCGGGGGTGGGTCGCGGGCGGGTCGCGGGGCGGGTCGCGGGTGGGTCGCGGGTGGGTCGCGGGGTGGGTCGCAGGTGGGTCGCGGGGTGGGTCGCGGGGTGGGTCGCGGGGTGGGTCGCGGGGTGGGTCGCGGGTGGGTCGCGGGGCGGGTCGCGGATGGGACGACGACAATAACAAACAACAACAACAACAACAACAACAACAACACCAACAACAACCGCAACGACAACGACAACGACAACGACAGCGACAGCGACAACGACAACGATAACGACAACAACGACAACAACAACAACAGCAGCAGCAGCAGCAGCAGCAACGACAACGACAATGACAACGACAACGACAACGACAGCGACAGCGACAACGACAACGACAACAACAACGACAACGACAACGACAACGACAACAACGACAACAACAACAAGAATCCGCACCGCGGAATTCCACTTCAGCCGCGCACCCAGGGACAGTGAATGACCGTTCGGTTGTCGCTTCCATCTTCATCGTCGCGGTCATCGTTGGCGCGCTCGTGGCGGCGACGGCCGGCCAGCACCACTGCGGCTCGAGCCCAACCGTTGCCTTTCGGGCTGGAGCATCGTCTCTCTGCCAGCTTCCCCCCGCCGCCGACTGTCCATCCAGAGGGCCAGGGGGACGAGGAAGTGCCAGACGTACGGTCAGGAACGTTAACTTAGCGTGTAGCGCCGCCAGTTGTGGCCGAGAACGCTTCGGCGCGACACGCTGATCATTTCTCCATATCCAGGCGTCCACGTCCCGAGCCTCTCCCAGCCTCCCGCCCCGCGGAGCGGAGCGACCTATCCACGCATGCGCTTGCAAGGCATAGCGTGTCGCCGGAGCCGCCGCCGCGACACGCTAAGCAAAAGTTCCTGACAGCACCTTTGATTCACAGGGCGCAAGCAGTGGATCGGTGGACGAGGGGGGCACGGTGGACGTTTCAGTGCACATGTGAGGTTTGCTTGTATGGTTTGTGTAGAATCCACGGATGAAACACATGCGGTCACGTGTTGTCTTTCTTCCATGCGTAATGTCATTATGATGACCGTGGCATGATGGGTATACACCGTGCGCACACACTAGGAACGATGCACGTCTTGCAGGTATCTGGGTGCTTTGGGGGTCGTGCTCGCGTTCGGGAAGGCATTTGAATCACACGCGTTGAGCACGTGTCGACGACGGCTCTGGCTGTAGCACGTTGCTCGTTCCCCGCCTCCAGACTGATCACGCGCGTTGCTTGATCTGTTTGGTGGCAGTTGGGCGGTCGCATGATATGCGTGCTCGCTGAGCTTTCCGTTGATTTCTACAGAGTTTGGGACGCGTTTTGTTGGGGACATGCTGATGTCCAGCCGCGCGCAGAGGGGGTAGGGAGAGGGGGGAAGGCTTCCCAGAGGCACCCCTGCGTCTCAAAAGGCGCAGGCCTTGTCGAGAAGTAGGGCCCGCGAAGCGTGCCATCAACCCCTCCTCCTCCTCCTCCTCCTCCTCCTCCTCCTCCTCCTCCTCCTCCTCCTTCTCCTCCTCCTCCCCCTCCCCCTCCTTCTCCTCCTCCTCCTCCTCCTTCTCCTCCTCCTCCTCCTCCGTAGCCATTTTGGCTCAAGGCTCATGCTTTTGCGGGCTGAGCCCGTATTGGCATTCACGGATACCGCTAGTCCGCGGCAGTGCCAGAGCGCTTGCGCTCGACAGCTTTCCGCCTACACCGAGGGGTTGGGCTCCCTCATCAGTTTTGCCGCCACGGCCAGGCTGCCCTCTGGCCCGTGGCACTCGCCGCTCGTCCCTGCGACATCGACGCCACGATGGCCCCGACGCGCAAGGACAACGCTTCGCCATGGTACTGCAAGTGGTGCAGGCACGACGTCACGAATCAGCCGTGGTTCAATGCCTCTACCCTTGTCTACTGTAAGAAGTGCGGCCTGCACAAGAGCAACTGTTTCAAGGAGAACAAAGCGGCGTCGCAGCCCAGTGTCTCGGCCAAGCAGCAGTCGCTCGCGGCCAAGGTCAAGGAGCTTGAGGCGCAGCTCACCAAGCTCCGAGAGCATCCCCCTGGGCATGGGCCAGCGACTACGGGTACAGGTGCGAGCCCACCATGGGCTGCTGCGCCAGGGGATGCCGACACCGCCAAGCGGAATAGGATCAAGATGCTGGATCAGTTGCTTCGTGTCACTACTGACCCTGCTGATGCTGATACTGTGGCCAAATGGCGCGAAGAGCGGGCGAGGCTGGACGCCGAGCTCTTTCAAGACAGGCCCATCGAGCATCAGGCCAGGTCGTTGGCGTCAAGGCTGTCTTCCGCCCGCTCGCGACAGGCTACCATCCAGGCCACCCGTGACGAGCAGCAGAAGAAGATTGACGAGCTCACCCGCGGCCTGGCCGACACGGACTCCAAGCTGCAAGAGGCCGTTGCGGAGGTCCTCCGCCTGGAGCAGCAGACCCGCACCGCCATGTCGCGAGCCCAGCCGCCCGAGGGCACGCAGCCACCGACGCTTGCGGACTTGTTGCCCACCTTCGCGGTCAGTGTGGAGCAGCTGGGCAAGGTCGCAACAGGCCTCGGTCTCGGCGCCGACATGGTCAAGGAGCTGCAGGCCATGGCCGACACGGTCAGTAAGCTGCAGAGCTTGCCCCAGGCCAAGCCGCCAGAACCTGTACCTGCTCATGCTGATGGTGCTGAAGCTAGTGCTGAGCCACCTGACATTGAGATGTCTGAGCAGGATTGCCGTGAGACTTTGGGCGCAGCAGGGGTCCACGTCGAGGAGAGCGACACCCCCGACATCGCGCGCGAGAAGTTCAAGCGCCTTCAGCAGAGCTACCTGGACACTGTGGCCAAGAAGGCCAAGACGTCCGCGTGAACGTGATCGGCCTGATATGCTGTTGCTTTGGCTCTTCGTCACCATGGCTAGCTCTACATCAGCGCAACATGTTGAGAGCGCGCCTCCGCCATCTTCGACAGCGGCGTGTACCTCGGGCAGGGGGGAGAGGGATTCAGCCCCTCATCGTCACACCTCCCTGCCCACAACGGCTTCCAGTACCAGGACCTCGGCTGGGACTACGGCGCCTACATTATTTCCCCCACTGGCCCGCTCCTCGGGGTGGGGGGCAGCTCCGACCTTGACTGCGGCTCCGCCTACGTCGGTTGCGCCCGCGGCTGGGTCTTTGGCGTCTACGGCATGACAGAGGGCTACCCCGCCTACGCCTACGCGGTTGGCCCCTGGCAGCACGCACTGCTCACCGACCTCACCTTCGGGGAGCGGCGGCAGAGGGCACCGACCGTCCTCGGACGGCACGCACCGCTCGCCGCCCTTGCCCTCGGAGAATCCAGGCGGCAGAGGGTGCCGACTGCTAGGGGCGTCCTCGGGCCAGAGCGGCCCAGTGCGTACTACCTTGGATGACGATTATGACTCCTTTCAGGACGTCGAGCCTGATATGGAAGCAGATCTGTGTGAAGGCGCATTTCAGGATGCGCCATCTTCGCCCCCACCTTCTTCCCGATTACGCTTCGAGAAATCATGTCAAGAACGCGCTGCACCAACTTCGCCTTTGCCGCCAGAGCGCACGGAGGTGAGGGTGCAGCCAATGCATGCAGAATCCCAACCGCAGCTCAAAGGCCTCATCACAACGGTGAACGCTACGAGCTACGGCCCTCTCTTCGACTTTTTGGCTACTTATCGGGGAACTATATTGCTGGCTTAGGAGTTGAGAATTACCGAACCTAGGCTTGGCGAGCTTCAGGCCAGGGCCTTGGACGCTGGATGGCATGGGCTATGGGCCCCGTCGCCCTCCACGGGTGACTCAGCTACGTCCAACTTCGGAGGGGTCGCTGTACTCGTGCCGACGTACATTATGGTCACGGCCCCACCTGACGACGGGCACATTATCTATCCAGGACGAGCAGTCTGTGCACAGATTAACTGGGGAGTTGCTGGCGGTATCATAGTCGCCAGTGTTTACCTTGTCACGTCCATTGGCATCTCAGGCGAAAACATTGAGGTGTTGTGGGCCTTGGCCCAGAGAGTGGCAGCATGGAACTCACGGGGCCTCGACTGGATTCTAGGCGGTGGCTGGAACGCCGACATCGATGCGCTCAATGTTCGCAACTGGGCCGAGACCATGGCAGCCATCCACTATGTGCCCGACCAGCGCACCTGCATCACCGACGAGGGCAAGAGCACCATAGACTATGTTGTCGTCTGTGCCAACTTAGCGTCTCGCATCAAGGGCAAGCCAGAGGCCCAGTATGACCCCACGGTCGTGCCGCCGCCGCAGTTCCCTGTGGAGCTGCAGCTCATGGGCGAGGATCGCCCCACGTGGTGCCGCGTCCCTGTGGAGCCGCGACCTTTTGCGGTGATGCCGCCCGTTGGCTGCGCCAGGCATCCCTACCCGTGGCATATGCTCCAGGCAGAGTTCCAACGGGTCAGCAGTGTCGACGACCTGAGCTCGCTCTGGGACTCTGTGCTGCGCGGGGTGGACTACGAGCTGGCAGGGCGTTACGACTGCGTAGGCGCCAAGGCCACGCAGCACATCGGACGCGAGGGGCCGCCGCAGTTCAAGCGGCAGCTCCTGTCATGGCAGCCGCCGCGCAGGCGTACCTACAAAGAGCCGACTGTGCTGGCCTGGGCCACGGCGAAGCGCTGGGCCCAGCACCTTGTGGCCGAGAAGAAGCGGCTTGTGAGGTACATCGAGCGCCTCAAGCTGTGCGCCGCCATTTGCGCCATCACGCCGCTGCAGTACACCAAGGTCATTGTGGCCTTCAATGAAGCGGCTGCCTTTTATGGACGCGTGGCTCGGTCAGTGCAGGTGCTGTGTGTCCTGGACACTGCCTTCGCAGGTTTCTTTCGGCGAGGGCTGACTGGCTTGGTCGAGGCTGACTTTGAGGACGTAGCCAATGCCATCATTGCCAGAGCTGATTATCATCTGAGAACGGCGCAAAGAGCGTCGGAGAGGGCTTGGCGGCAGTGGGCCAAGGAAGCCTTCTTGGGAGGAGCATCTCGGGCGCATTCGTCCTCCAAAGTTCGGGCTCGACAGGAGGTGCTCGCCTACCCCCCTGACGCTCAGCCATACCAGATGGCTGACCGTACGCTCGACAAGTGGAGGGACGTCTGGACGTACCACGGTGCATGCCCTCTGCCGCTGCCTTCTGATCATGCTCAGTGGCCTCTGCTTCCGCCTTTGTCTGCATCGCAGGTGCGAGGAGCAATCAGAAGCTTTCCATTGACGACGGCCTCGGGCCAGACGAGGATCGCGCCACGCACGCTCGATGTGCTGTCCGACCAGGCCTTGCAGTGCCTGGCTGACATGTTCATGCAGTTTGAGAGTTGGCTGGCCTGGCCGACGGACAGGCTCTACAGCGAGCTTGTTCGCTTGCCCAAGCCTGACGGGGACACTAGGTTGATCGCCCTCAGCAACACTTTCGTCAGGTTGTGGGGAAAGCTTCGTCGGCCGCTTTCAGCGGGGTGGCAAGAGTCTCACAGTTGCGAACATATGTGGGGGTCCAGGGCTGGGCAGACTTCGACCGATTCAGCCTTCGACCACAACCTGAGCCAGGAGATAGGAGAACTCTTAGGTGAGCACACATGCACCATTCTCTTGGACATGACCAAGTGCTTCGATATGGTCAGTCACAGCGCACTTCTCCGAGAAGCCAGAGAGCCCGGGTACCCGCTGAGGCTCCTGTGGTTGCTCCTGGGCTCCTACCGCCAGCCGAGAAGGATCAAGTGTTTTGGGTCCGTATCCAGGCCCTTGGTGGCCCATCAGGGTATTCTTGCGGGCTGCACGCACGCCACTTATCTTTTATATCTCCTCACGTACCGAGCGGTCCAGCGCACGGCTAGTATTGCACCTACTATCACGCCACGCACGCTCATGGACGATGTGGGCCTGCAGTACGTGTCGCCCGTCTTGCGGGAGGCGTCCAACCTGGCCCGAGCGGCCAAGGCGTTTACGGCTGATGCTGGTGATCTCGGGATGGTCTTGAAGCCGCCGAAGTCTGGATGTATCCCTGGGTCCCAAAAGGTTTGGGGGCAGCTCAAGAGGCACTTGGGAACCTTGAAGATCCCGTACAGGGCCCTCATGAGGAATCTGGGACACGAGCTCACAGGACCTCGAGTTCTTCGGCATATGGAGAAGCGTAGGCTGGTGCAGTTTCGTGAGCGCAAGCATCGTTTTCGCATGTTGAAGTCCGCCGTGGGGCGGAGTGCTACCAGCCTGTGGCGCACGGGCGCCCTTCCATCAGTGGCGCATGGCGGTGCAGTTGCTGGAGTTAGTGATAGCGCCCTTCGTGAGTTGCGACATTGTGCTGCGGTCCTAAATGGTGCTCCAGGTAAGACGATGGCTGGGGTAACAGCGTATCTTATATCTCATCGGGATGAATGCTATGACCCCATATATAACGCCACCACGGACATTGTGCTCACATATGCCTCCTGGATCTGGGACGGGCGAGTACAACCTAGCAGACTTCGGGAGGCTTGGGTCAGTCTGGGTGCTAAGTTTGAGAGTTCACCTTCCTGGTCTAAAGCGCGAGGGCCCCTCGGGGCCACTTGGCTTACTTTGAGGCGTATCTCCTGGACTATGTCGTCAGAGCACATCCTGGTCGACGATTTGGGAAATAGTTTTGATTTATATCGTATATGTCCAGCAGACCTGCGCGTGTTCCTGCATCAGGGCATCCAGCGCTGGCAGCACCATAGGTTGCAGCAGCATTGTTACACCGAGCAGGCGGATGTGTGGCATCGTGCGTTACGCCACTCGCTCGCCAAGATAAAGTGTCACAGGCGCCTCGGAGCGCTGCAGGCTTTGTGAGCAGACAATCTTCCCATCCCACCGCGTCGGGACATGAAGCATGGGAGGCCCATTAGGCCTTGTCAGGCCTGTGGCAAGGCTATCGACTCCTGTTGGGGTCATATCTTTTACGACTGCCCGCCGCTCCTCGAAGGGAACCCCGACCAGGAATATTATGAGTTTCCAGAACAGCTTCAGGAGGTTCGAGATATGCTTCAGGCGTCTGGGCAGCTGCTGGGGTGCACCGACTGGGGCCAGAGGTACCTGATCTATGGGGTTCCTGAGCCTGTCGCTGTGCCGCACTACGCTACGGTCTCCAATGAAGTTTTTGAGTGGGGAGATGTCTCAGGCTCCTGGGGGCCTACATCCTATACTGATGGTTCTGGGTTCTCGGCCAGCATTCATGATGTACGTAGGTGTGGTTGGTCGGTCTGCCAGTTGGACCCCGTCACGTGGCTCCCCGCCAGAGCTGTATATGGGCCCTTGCCCTGCTATGTGCAGACGGTGGGCCGTGCTGAGCGCTATGCCATCAAGATGGGACTTCAGAAGCATCCAGGGCATGAGGTTTTCATTTCTGATTTGAAATCGCTCGTTGAGGAGGGCGCGCCCTTGGACCAGAAGCTCGAGTTTGGCAAAGCGAAGCACGCCCGAGTCTGGAGAGACATTTTTTCTGCTGCCAGAGCACGTGATCAACGTCTGCCACCAGTGCGGTTTCAGTGGACTCCAGCTCACAGGAAGCTGGAGGACATCATCGAGTGGGCCACGCCAGACAAGCTGGAGGCCTTCGTCAGCAATGCCTGGGCCGACTTCTTCGCGAAGTGCGGCAGTGCTGCACACATGGTGTCTAAAACAGTGGCTGATAGTTTGGCCGCTGCGCTGAAGCACACAAGGAGGTCTTGCATTATGTCTCTTGGGCGGTCTTCCAGGTGGTTCAGTTTCGTAAGTGGGGAACGGATCCTATCGCGGAGCGGGACCCAGAGCTTGCCCAGGTGCCCAAGCGTGTGGTCTTCGAGAGGCCCCAGGACCACGAGTTGCTTTTCTGCCAGAGGTTGTCTGAGTATCGGTGTCGTCGGTGCAATCGAGTCGCTCGAAGTGCGAGTTCCCTCCATACTCTTCGCTCGGGAGCTGATCGAGTGTGTGCTCCCACGCCTCTGGTCCAGAGCCTGGCCGATGACTTCTTCCTGCGGAGTTCTGAGGCGTGGCTTAGTATTTCGGACTCTAGAGTCACTGCTGCCATCGAGGCGGCTGATAGGATTTTGGGGCCCACGCCTGGGCTTCAGGAGCCCTCCTCGGGGCAAGGCGCGGTCCCTCCTCAGCCGCTGGAGCAGGCGTATGCTGCCAGTGGCTCTGCCGACGCTCCCCAACCAGTGCTTGCCGAATTCGCTGAATTGGGGCATGACGTTTTCTGTGCTAATTCCGTTTATTGCTGCCGCAAGTGCGGGGGCAATTTCAACGGGTCCGAGTCCTTCAGGTCCGCCCGCAAACTGCGGGCGTTGTGCCAAGGGTTTTCGGAGAATCCAAAGACACGGGCTAACCAGCACACGGCGATCGACAGAATCACCCGTGGCTTGGAGCCCCGCCAGCGAGGGGCAGGTGCGGCGCGTTCTGGCCCGAACCCTGCCCCCTAGTGTTGCTCTTTGGACCCTGGGAGGTTTCAGGGTGTGGTTTTCCTGAGGCGCCCCACCCTCTCCCAGGCTTTCGCCTTTTCCGCCACCCCTGTGGCTCTCAGGTCTCACACGCGGTTGGCGTTCGTCACTCGGACGCCTCTCCTGCGGCTCGCTCGCTCCTCCTCCTCCTCCTCCTCCTCCTCCTCCTCCTCCTCCTCCTCCCTGGGCCTCTCGGGCGGCCGAGCAGCCCCGGGGCCCCCCGCGGCGGGCCAGCCCGCGATGCTCTCCGCGGCGCGGCGGTGCGGCGGCGCCGCGGCCGCGGCGGCGGGGGCCCGCGGGAACGCTCGGCGCGCGCCCGCGGCGGCCGCCAGGGACTTCGCGTCCGAGGCGCCCCCGTCGGGTCAGCAGGCCTCGGCGGCGAGCACCTGAGCTGGAGGCCTCCTAGATGGGGGTCGGAGTAGATGGGGTCGGTGGATCGCACGGTATCGCCGACACATCGGCGATGCATCGGCGATGCATCGGCGAAGCACCGGCGATGCATCACCGACGTCGGCGCTCCATCGGCGGCGCCTGCGCGAAGAGCATCGGGCACCGCATCGAGCCGCATCGCCGATGCATCGGCGATGCGACGCGATCCTCCGACCCCATCTACTCGGACCCCATCTAGGAGGCCTAAAAAAGCCCCATCGTTGGTCCCTTCGAGTGGGGGATGGGCTATAGACTGGAATTTCCCCCCACCGTGGATTTGTTCGTCGGATGCACGTAAAAAGGCGCAGACTGTTCGTAGAGTTGGTTACGATGCTTCTACATGTGTTTTTGCTTGTGGATGCGACGAGGGAATCAAGTCTGGGGTGAATCAATTTAGTGGTCGATCCCCTACTCGACCCCTCTCGGCCCAGGCCTGCCGAGGCGCCGCCCTCGTGGCTGGCGCCGACACATAGATGGGGTCGGAGTAGATGGGGTCGGAGGATCGCGCCGCATCGCCGATGCATCGGCGATGCGGCTCGATGCGGAGCCCGATTTTCTCCATACCGGCGTCGCCGATTCGTCGCCGACGTCGGTGATGCATCGCCGATGCATCGGCGATGTATTGGCGATGCGGCGCGATCCTCCGACCCCATCTAACCGGACCCCATCTAGGAGGTCTCTAGTGTGGAGCAGTGCCAGACGCGACTAGGACGAGGACAAATCCGTTCCAGATGGCGCTCTGGGACGCTCCCAGAGCGTTTTGGAACGCTCCGAGAAGGCCGCGGCGCCCGAGACTTCCAGAGCCGCTGGATCTCAGAGATTCCTGGTGTATCCTCATCCGATGTTATCCTCGTCCTGGCTTCATGTTAGGGAGAAGCAGACAGAGGACCACGACGACGACGACGAATAGGGCCAAGAGGACGAAGAGGACGAGGTCGGCGACGACGAAGAGGGCGAGGACTGGGGGGATGAGGAGGGTGACTGGAGGACGAGGTGGAGGGGGTGATGACGGGGAGGGCAAGAAAGCGCACGAAAGCGCAAGAAAGCGAGCGATATGTTATATAACCGAACACATACACATATATGCATATAGCTATAATCGTAAAACATATATCAGTTATATGTGTGAACCCCCTCGGGATGGCACACACACACACACATACAAGCACGCACACACGCGCACACACAGGCACACACACACACGTACTCACGCACGCACACACACATACACAAACAGGCATACACACATACGCACGCTCGCGCACACATACACACACACACGCACGCACGCACGCACGCACGCACGCACGCACACAAACACACACACACACACACACACACACGCGCGCACACGCACACGCACACGCACACGCACGCGCACTCACACGCACACGCACACGCACACGCACACGCACACGCACACACACACACACACACACACGCACACGCACACGCACACGCACACGCACACGCATACACACAGGGTTCGAGAGAAGTCTGGAGCTGGGGATTTTGAAAGGCCGGTCCATCGGAGGTCTGGGATGGAGGGCGGGGAGCGGCCCCGTAAGGAGGCGGAGACGGGGGAGTTCTGAGATCGGGGGTGGCCAAGAGGGGTGCGATGGCTGGGAGGGGGTAGTCCTAGCCAGGGCCATGATACCTCCCCGGACCTCATATTTCACATTTCATGGCCCCCTCGCCGTGGTGCTGAGCCATCCCTGTGCACTTGTTGATTCTTTGTTATCTGTCGCCCAAAGTCCGCCTGCAGGAGGACATGCCCGACCTCACCATTGGTTCGAGACGCCCCGGAAGCCGGGCAAGGGCTGCTAAATCCGTGGCTGCTAAAATCGACCTCCGGGAAGTTGTCTTCGTCCTTCCGGGAAGAAGCCCGTTGACTGTTTCGCGTGCCGCGCCTCATTCCGGGAAGTTGTTTTTTTCCTTCCGGGAGGGCCGTTTCAGCAGCCACGGTTTTAGCAGCCCTCGCCCAGCTCTCTTGCCCCCCCCCCCCTGGCCCCGACACCCCCACCCACAGAACCTTTGCTCTTGGGGCCCCCCACCCCACGGCTTCTCGCCCAAAACCGACCGATACCCCCCACCCGGCCCCGACCGATACCCCCCACCCCCCGTGCACGGGCGTGCAGCCCCGACCCCTCTCGGGTCGTGGAAAATCGTGACGGGGAGGTGTTTCGGCGTAGTATGCAGTCGGACGTGTCCCCCTCGACGAAGAATCAAAGATACCCCCAAAAATGTCCCAAATTGTCAATAAAATAATCAAAAAATAGTCCCCAGGCTATGTTTGGACTATTGTTTGATAATTTGGGGGTATTTTGCATTTTTCGTTGAAGATCCCCCTGTAGGAAGACAGGCCCGACTTGAGCGTAGTACGTATACTATGTGCGCGTCGCCCCCTCAGGGGCGACGCGCGCACACGAGAACTCTTCTAGTACATGCGTCGTGGCGGGCGCTTTCTGGCCACGCCGCTCGGGAAACGATGTACTAGAAGATGGGTATGCTGCATGCTCGGGTCCGACGCGCGCCTCCGAGGAGGACATCTGGTCTTAATCAGTGTGTCTCTGTGCGCCCCATTGTTCGAACATGTTCGGCCCCCATAGGGGGCCCTTGCCGGCGCTCGGGAGCGTCAAAGAACGGCTCGGGACGAGAAGCACCCGTCCCGGGGAGTGGGTCCAGACCGCGGGGGGTCCACGTCATGCAGAATTCATGACGTCGGGGGTCCGGGCAGGCTGAAATGCCGCTGGTGATCCAGAACTGGCCGACATCGAGCGATCTGCGCTATCGGGAATAAACCGCGATCGTTCAAGATTGAGCGATCCACGCGGTGTGAGATGAGAAACCAAAGGCCCAGGTCGTCGCCGCACGAGCTTGCCGTAACCCAGGCCCCCGACGTCATGATTTTTGTGATGGCGTCGACCCCGAAAAGTCTCCTCCCAAGCCCTGGGACATGTTTCCACCTGAGTCGTTTTTGGACGGGCTTGAGGGCCAGCAAGGGCCCCAAGAGGCCGAAAACAGCGAACAATTCCCCGTCATGATGTTTTCATGGCCTGCCAGAGATTCTCGATCGAACCTCACCCGATATTATCCTTCCTCGTCATGGCTACGTCTTAAAGCTTGCAGGGGCCTTCAACCGACTAGACGTAGGAGTGACCCTTCGCTGGATTGACCTTTAGTGCGGGCTCACCATTGGGGTACCCCGATCGCTGAATGCGATGCGACCTGCACTTTGGTTTTGCTCCCCCTGGCCCCTCAAAAATCCGCGCACCAAATATCATTATCGTCTACAGTCGGACCGAGGTATAAGATCGAGGTCGGTTCGGGGAGGGTGCCCTACTGTTCTTCGTGTCTGTTAGACGTTCTTGTGCATCCTGCGGAGGGTAGCCTTGGATGTTATGTTTGTTTTGGCCAGCGGAGGGCCTCATGTTCTTGAGGGATGTTCTTCTCGGTGCCGAGCGAGCCAAGGGGGGAAGTGAGAAGGGGCGGGCCTTCTCGGAAGGGCCGGGAGTCCCCGGGCCTTCTGAGAAGTGTTCCAAGCCTTCCCCGAAGGCACAGCATACCTCTCAGAAGGCCGGAGGGCTCCTGAGAAGTCCCGCGGCCTTGTGAGAAGGCCTTCTTCTTCGTCTTCTTCTTCTCACTTCCCCGCCTCGCTCGCTGCCAACCGAGGGATGCTCCTCTGGCCCAGGTCCGGCAGCGCGTCTTAAAGCATGCGGGGGCCTTCCAGGAAGCCGCCCCCCGTCGCTTCGCAGCGGGCCGCCGCCGTCGCCCCTCGCCCCCCCACCCCGCCGGCCCCCCCGGCGCGGGCCGCCCCCCCCCCCGAGCAGGCCAGCCCCTTCTCGGTGCTGGAGCAGCTGGGCCGCGAGACGCCGCCTCGGTGTGCCGCGGACCGCGCGATCGGCGATCGCGGAGCGCAGGCTCGAGGTTCTGGCTTCGAGGACTCCTCCTCCTCCTCCTCCTCCTCCTCCTCCTCCTCCTCCTCCTCCGTGCCTTTGCCTGTTCCGGCCTCATCGAGAGCAGTTTTCGGGCCCCCCCCGGGGCCGTGACGAGCGGACCCCTGGTGGTGCAAGCACCGGATGGGCCCCGGGAGGGGTTGGGGGACCGACCTTGAGCGGATCTGGCTCTATCCCCCCCCTTTGACCGATGTTCTTCAGAGCGTGAAAAACCTACCCCGCTTTCGCTTCCAGGCAAAACCAAGCCGTACCACGCGCCTCCTCGTCAAGCGGCCGGACCAGTACAGGCTGCAATTTGGCATCGTTTGGTATCTCTTGGAAGCGAGGGTGGTCAAAAGCGAGGCAGGTTTGTTTTCCCCTTAGTTCTTTCGGCACCAGTTCAGACCCCCTGGCCGCCTCCTTCAGGTGCTCAGTCTCTACTGATCACGCGGTCGGCGATGCCGGTCCCAGATCTCTACGATCGGGGGAGCACGCGGCCGCCGCTCGCGTGTCCAGTTCGGCTTCATCGGGCGATCGTCCGAGCCGGAATATGCGCGATCGATCCGTGGTCGGCGAGGCAGCCGTCGTGATCGTGGCTGCGATCAGATCACGTGATCGGATGGATGTGGGTTCGGCCGAGTGCGGCACGCCAGTGAAAAATGATAACGCAGGCGCCTTGAGGTTAGCTCAACGAGAACCGAAATCGCATGTGGACCACAAGGGGAACAGCCGGCTTTACTTTTGGCGTCCGGTGCGGATGCAAATGGTGAAAACATGGCCCACGGATCCTTCGGGCCTGAGAAGTGCCCCGCAAGAAGACGCCAAGGACGCTGAGCAAGGCGCAGGAGGCCGCCCAGAAGGTCGGCGAGGTGGCCTCCTCGGGCAGCCCCGCGCCGCTGCTCCAGGAGCTGCAGGGCCTCGCGCAGGCGAACGTGAAGTCGGGCCTGTCCCTCTACAGGAGGAACATTCAATATGAGTAAAAAAAGAGTCTGGGGACGCTTCTTGTTTACTTGTTTCTCTATGTTTGAACGTTTTGTGACATTTTCCCATTCTTCGTCCAGAATCCCCCTGTATGGGGGACATGCCCGACCTGAGGCGAACGCGGAGGCGCTCGGCCGGACCGCCGTCCCCATCTGCTCCGCCGTGCTCATTCTGAGCCGGTCGCCCGGGGCGCCGCTGAGCGAGGCGCGGCCAGAGGAGGAGGAGGAGGAGGAGGAGGAGGAGGAGGAGGAGGAGGAGGAGGAGGAGGAGGAGCAGGAGGCCAACCCGAGTCCCCCGAGCCCGAGCCGCTTTACGCCTCCCTCCCAGAAGGCGCAGCAGGAGAAGCTCGCCGAGGCCCTGCCCGCCCCCATGATGGACATGCTGAACGACCTGGTGAAGGTCGCGCGGCGGGGGTGTGCTGCCGCGCGGGAGGTCGGTTCTGGGCCCGACTTCTCTCCGGAGCCCCCTCGAGGCTCTCTCGGCGGTCCGAGGCCCGCCCCCCACGGCGCGGCGACGGCGAGGTCGGGCGGCCCTCTGCGGCGAGGTCCCCGAGGCCTCCTCCCGGGGGCTCTCCGAGGCTGTCCTGGGCCCCGTGGCGCGCCCGCGGTCAGCCCCGCGGTTCGGTCGGTCCTTCTGGCGAGCGCTTTTTTCTGTTGGCTGTAGCTCCTCCCATGGGCACACGCTGTTCACTTCCGAGCCTTCGAAAGCTCTCTGATTTCTGGGGGGCCGAGATCCTTTCACTTCGAATGTTCTATTCTGGGCTTCTTCCTGGCCGCAAGGGGGGCCAGGAACAATCAGACACGAGCACCATCAGAAATGAGCGCGACTAGAATGGAGCGACGTGTACGGTCAACCCGCATGGTAAGGATAGGCAACCTTCCCCAGGGTACTCTGGCATCTTTGCCTCCTCGGTCCATCCTTGGCCGCTTCCGCTGGCCGCGCCCCGCCCGCAAAGTGCCGACGTGGCCTTTCGAGGCCCATGCATCCTCACCGCGCATCCTTATGATACCCGGTTGGCTGTAACGCTCGTCACCCGGGCCGACGAACTCACTCGCGCCTCGAAGTCTCAAATGCATCGCCGCAGTCTCGAGGTCCCCCTCCCCCAGAGTAACGCTAACGATCGTACTTTTGGGGGGGGGGGGTCTCGGCCCTCCCTCCTACATGTTGCTGTGCACAGAGGCGATTCAGGCGCCGCTGGCGCGGACGCACCCTGTCGGGTGCACGCCGCGGCCGCCGTTACCGCTACCCTCCCGCCCGAGCCCCGCTCCCCCCTAGGTAATGACCGCTACCCAGGAAAAAAAAACGGTAAACGGTCAGTCGGGCGTTTCTTTCCCGTTTTTGCACTTCGGGCCCTCGACCATCTTAAAAACGCTGAAGCAATTCTACGTCTTTGTTTTTTGTTGTGTGTGTGTGTGTCTGTGTGTGTTTGTGTGTGTGTTTGTGTGTGTGCTTTGCTGCGCTCTTTTAGCGTTATCAGGTCCGTCGCCGTGTATCTCCATTTGTCTTAGCGCGGTTAGCTGTCCTGTCAAAGGCTGCTCCTTGTCTTCACTGCCGCCTTCGCCTGCCCTCCCGTTCCTGCCGTCTCCCGTCCCTCCCGCTCCACGCGCAGAGTTCAGAACTAAAACCACGCCCACAAACGCCCTGAAACCTGTCCAACAGCGGCGCAGAACAGGCCCGAAGGCCCCCGCGACCAGCCGGCAGCGACATCCACTGAAGAGCCACATGTTTATACTGAGAGTATCGGAAGGATTGGACGCACGGAGAAGGACTGGAGAACGCGGTCGACGGTAATGTTACAAAGCGCAATCCACGAATTCGAAGACGCAAAATACGACCTCCAGACATGAGTCCCTTTTTTGTTCAGCGTGTCTAGTTTCCCTGTTGGGGCCGAAAGACGCTGAACAAGTGAACCTCCGACACGCCGAGTTACAAACGGTAAAACAACACCCATGGCAAGTTCAAGAAAACCCACGGAGTGACCCTTGCTGCGGACCCACACGGATCCCGCCAGCAATAGACGGCAGCCGCTTGGGTTGCGTGGATTCGGCTTCCCCCGCGGCTCCTTGAGGCCAGGCACCACAGGTCGCTCTTATCTGGGGTCACTCCTGCGCGCAGCTGACCAGCGTCATGGACCAATGTTCCACCACCACCGCCATAGGCAGGACAGGGGAGAAGGGAGGATGGGGTGGTCTTCCTTCTCATCCTGCTGTTCCTCCTCCTCCTCCTCCTCCTCTTCCTCCTCCTCCTCCCTCTCCTTCTCTCCTTCCTCTGGTGGTGGTAGTGGACCATCGGCCCCTCACAGTGGCCCGGCGGTTCCAAGGTACGGGGCCGTGAGGGATAGGGCCCGAGGGCGGAGGGGCCCTAGACGGCGTAGGCCTCCGGCTGGGATCCGTCCCTATCCTTTGGGCCCATGGGTGGTCTATCAGGAGGGGAAAAAACACAGACACAATGCATCGGCGATCCCCCCAAAAATATAGGAAAATATGGGAAGTGGGGGGGGGGACGAAAGCCCCCAAAATATATAAATATACGTGGAATCCTGGTATTTGTGTGTATGTATTTGTGTGTCCTTGGGCCCCTTGAGCATCGCGGGCACCGCGTATCCACACGACCGAGCATCCACCAGGATCGCGCCCTGGAGTCCAGAACGCAAGGGCTGTGGAGGACGATCAATGGACAGGAAGCATGTTGCCAAATACTTCCCAGGTGTCTAGAACATGTGTTAAACGTGTTTTTAAACATGTAAAGCAACATATCCAAAACATGTTTAGAACATGTCGCCGACATCTTACACGCATCTTAAACTCAATGATGGGACTGTTAGGGTGTCCATTGTCGTGGCATCCGCAACGCAAGGGCGTGGATGAGGATCCGGGGCGGCCCGGCCGACCCCCCGGCAGACCATCCCCATGCCGTGGCGCCGCCCTCGCCTCGCCCCGAGGGCGCGCGTGTGTGTGCGGCTAGAGGGGGGCCTCGAGAAGGCGCGGATGACGCCACGGAGGAGGATGGTTTTCCAGAGGTCGGTTAGGCTCGAGTCGGGCATGTCCCTCTACAGGGGGAGCACTCACGAATAGTGCAGCTGCAGTCTGGGGGCGATGTTTCGACGATTGTTTGATTGTTTGTTTTCGCAGTCTCGGGCGATGCTTCACGTTTCCTTCCAGATTTGCCTGTAAGAGGACATGGCCGACCTAAGCTTAGGCCGAGCCCGAGTGGATGCTTCTCCCGCTCGTGGCCCGCGCAGCCCCGAGCCCTGCCTGTGCAGGGGCCTCGGGAGGGAAGGTCCCCAGAGGCCTCTTGGGGCTGAGGCCCCGAGCGGCCCAGGAGCGTCCAACCCACCTCGATCCTCGAACCGCGACCCTCCTCCTCCTCCTCCTCCTCCTCCTCCTCCTCCTCCTCCTCCTCCTGCTCTTCCTCCTCCCCCTCCTCCTCCTACGCCTCCTCCTCCGCCTCCTCCCCTTCCTCCCCCTCTCTCTCCTCCTCCTCCTCCGCCTCCTCCTCCGCCTCCTCCTCCTCCTCCTCCTCCTCCTCCTCATCCTCCTCCTCCTCCTCCTCCTGCTTCTCCTCCTCCTCCACCTCCTCCACCTCTGATGCCTGCAGCTCGTTTTGGCCCGGGTGCCTTCCTCGATGCACGTGCGCTACCCTGGTGCTATCCCCGCCCCCTTCCGTCCGCCCCGAGAGGCGCCCGCGTCCAGAAGGGGCGCTCACCTCTCGTCGCAGGCTCGCCATCGGCGGAAGCCGGCGGAATGTGGGCGGAAGTCGGCGGAAGAAGATGAGGATGAAGCAGCAAGGTGCCAGCAGTCTCGGATCCAGGACCTCCAAAGTGGGCCAGGTTCAAGGGCAACGCTCCGGGAGGTTAGGCTCAGGGGAGAAGGCATCGACCCCCGCCCGTCCACCCAACTTATGAAAACGCGCGGATGTGCTATCGAGAGACTGTCGTCGATCTATCAGCGATGTAGCGCCGATTCAAGCGCGATGCCCTCCCCCTGAGCCGGTCCTCTCCTATCGTTGCCCCTCACCTTGGTATCGCTCGGACGTGTTTTTTTTGTCGGCGAGGCCCCTCGAGGAGCATCTTGGGCCAGCTTGCGAGGGAAAAAAACGCTCGAAACCGAAAAAAAGGCCAGGAAGTGGACGTCCGAGCGGTGGCGGGCCACCACAGGTGGTGCCCGAGGACCCCGTGGTGGAACAGCTGAAGCGCATCGGCGACAAGCTCGACACCCTCGAGGCCAAGCTCGCCGCGGCGGCGCCGCCCGAGCCGGACGCGCCAGCAGGGGGCAGCTGAGGCCGCGGGCGACGCCGGCCAGCGAGGAGTCATCCGCGATGCCTTTGACAGGTCCGAAAGTTGGCAGGCTCGCTGCGGTGCGCTTCTCGCCCTCCCCTCTGCCCTCCTCGTCCTCCTCCGCCTCCTCCGCCTCCGCCTCCTCGTACTTATCCTTGTTCCTTATTAGAATATACCCCCACCTACCTCGTATTCCGGCCGATAGCGACCCAATCCGGGACCTCCCATCCGGACTGTAAAACAAATCAATAAAAAGTAGCAGTTTTTCTTCTCAACATCGTCTTTTTTGTCGTCGACGATGCGAAAAGCGTGGCAAGAATGGAACGCGGCGCACATCGCGCGCGGCAGTCAATCTGGGCCCGCCCATCCTGACTGTAAAAAATCAATACAAAGTCTTCGTTTTTCATCTCAGTATGGCCTGCCTTGTCGCCGACGGTGCGAAATATGTGGCAACAGTGGGACGCGGCGCACATATGGGACGCGGCGCACATCGCGCGCGCGGCCGTCAATCCGGGCCCGCCCGTCCTGAGTGTAAAAAATCAATACAAAGTCTCCGATTTTTCCTCTCAGATGGCCTCCCTTGTCGCCGACGGTGCGAAATATGTGGCAGGAATGGGACGCGGCGCGCATCGCGCGCGGACGTCCATGCGGGCTGCGGGCCCTCCCATCCTGATTTAAGAAACAATACCGAGTTGCCGGTTTTCCTTTCATCATGGCTTGTCTTGTCCTCGACGATGCGAAATGCGTGGCAGGGATGGGGCGCGGCGCACAGCGCGCGCGGACTTCTGGGGCAACCCCAAGGCGGGAGGGGCCACCTTACTTGTCAGAAGCAATGCCATGTTGATTTTCCATGCATCCGGGACCTCCCATCCGGACTGTAGAAAATCAATACAAAGTAGCCGTTTTTCTTCTCAACATCGTCTTTCTTGTCGTCGACGATGCAAAAAGCGTGGCAGGAATGGGACGCGGCGCACATCGCGCGCGGCAGCCAATCTGGGCCCGCTTATCCTGATTAAGAAATCAATACGAAGTCTCCGTTATTTCCTCTCAGCATGGCCTGCCTTGTCGCCGACGGTGCGAAATATGTGGCGCGCGCGGACGTCCATGCGTGCCGCGGGCCCTCCCATCCTGACTAGTGCTACGAGTACCATTGACACTACTACTACTACTACTACTACTACTACTACTACTACTACTGCTCTTACTACTACTACTACTACTACTACTACTACTACTACTACTACGACTACTACTACTACTACTACTACTACTACTACTACTACGACTACTACGACTACTACTACTACTACTACTGCTCCTACTGCTCCTACTGCTCCTACTACTACTACTACTACTACTACTACTACTACTACTACTAGTACTAGTACTAGTAAGTAGTACTACTATTACTACTACTACTACTACCCACCACTACTACTACTACTACTACTACTACTACTACTACTACTACTACTACTACTGCTACTGCTGCTGCTGCTGCTACTACTACTACTACTACTACCACTACCACTACTACTACTACTACTACTACTACTACTACTACTACTACTACTACTACAACGACTACGACGACTACTACTACTACTACTACTACTACTGCTGTTGCTTCTACTACTACTACTACTACTGCTACTACTACTACTAGTACTACTACGACGACTACTACTACTACTACTACTACTACTACTACTACTACTACTACTACTACTACTACTACTTCTGGTATTACTTGTTCTGCAAAGTGTACTACCAATGACATTACTACTAGTCTAGCAGTCGTACAAGTAATACCAGCACTGCTAGTTCCATAGTGCTACTACTCTGTACTACTACTCGTACGAGTACTTGTACTACCTGCAGTACTTCTGCTTATACGACTTGTATTATTAGTCGTAATACTAGTACTACTACCCATTCGTATCCCCACTCGACTGCTAGTACTACTACTACTACTACTACTACTACTACTACTACTACTACTACTACTACTACTACTACTACTACTACTACTACTACTACTACTACTACTACCACTACTGCTACTACTACTACTACTACTACTACTACTACTACTACTACTACTACTACTACTACTACTACTACTACTACTACTACTACTACTACTACTACTACTACTACTACTACTACTACTACTACTACTACTACTACTACTACTACTACTACTACTACTACTACTACTACTACTACTACTACTACTACTACTTACTACTACTACTACTACTACTACTACTACTACTACTACTACTACTACTACTACTACTACTACTACTACTACTACTACTACTACTACTACTACTACTACTACTACTACTACTACTACTACTACTACTACTACTACTACTACTACTACTACTACTACTACTACTACTAGTACTACCACTACGCGCCAGCATCCAGTTGCGCCAGCATTGTTTCTTGTGTTGTGGGAGGGCGGAACGTGTCCGTTGTTCCTTTCAACATGGCCTGTCTTGTCGTCGACGATGCGAAATGCGTGGCGGGAATGGGACGCGGCGCGCATCCCGCGCGGACGTCAATGCGGTGTCCTGGGGTATCCTCCACTCGCACTTAAATGCCCGCGCAGCCCCCAGTTGTGCCACCACTGTTTCTTATGTTGTGGGAGGGCGGGTGGGAATGGGCATGCCATGCTTGGCTCGCTCGAGCTGGCTAGCTTGACCATCCCGCTCCCCTTCCTCCTCCGCACCCTCCTCCTCCACCTCTGAAGCCTCATCCGCCCCCGTCTCCTCCTCGCCTCTCTCTGCCTGGGCCCACTGCTCGACCGTGACGGGGCCCCTTCCCCAGCAAAGCTCCAGCGCGGGCCCCTCTTCGGCTGGACCGGCGCGCCTCCTCCTTCCTTTTCCTCCGCCTCGGTCGAAAAGCGGTCCAGATGTCGGCAGTTGATTTTGGGCGTTCTTGCGCCCTTTCCAAGTGAGCAATGCAAAAAGACAGAATCGTTTTCACCGACATCGGCACGTAGGTTCGCCGCGTCTGGGTCGCGCGCAAGCACCTTCGTTTCCTCCGTGGCGTGCCGCGCTGGCGGCCCGCGGAAGCCACCGCGTAAGGCCGGGCGGCGAAATCTACACATTTCCACTGCTCCTTGACCAGGCCCATCCTGACTCCAGGAGCGGTGAAGACGGGTATACGCCCTCCTGGCTTGGCCAGGAGGGCGTGGCGTATACACCGCTGCTGGGTTCAGGATGGACCTGGCCGGGGAGCAGTGGACATGAAAAGACTTCGTCGCCCTCCAAGGTCGCTGGGCCATCCCGCGGAAGGCCCGCTTCCTCTCGTCGCTCCCGTGGGGGCCGACGTGGGTCGCTATGCCGCCGCTCCGCCTCCCCTCCGAATCCTCGCCCCCCGCCCGCCCCCGCGGCCTCGCGCCGAGTGCCGTGGTGGCCGACGAGGGTCGCTGCCGCCTCTGCTAGGGGGCCACATGCGAACCCTACCCCTACCCCCCACGATTTCTGAGGGGGGTAGGGGTCGGGTTCGCATGTGGCCCCCTATCTGCTCATCGCCCCTCCCCTCCCTCCTCGCGCGGGCCGCGGCGGTGCCCGCCGCTCGCGCGCCGCGGTGCCCCGCCGGGCCCCGCCCGCGCCGCCCCGCCTCCGCAGCCTCGCGCCCTCGGCGACTGCAGAGGGCACGGTCACGCCAGTGTGCGGGCTGCGATCGGCACCGCTGGGGCCCTGCGGGGGCACGACGCTGTCCTAGTCGGGCCTCCTCGGGGCGCGGGAGAGCTCCATCGAGGTCCCCGCGCGCCCCTCCCCTCCCCTCCCCTCCCCGCGCGCCCCTCCCCTCCCGCGAGGTCCCCGCGCGTCCCCGTCGCCTCACCCGCGCCGCCTCCCCTCCGCAGCCTCGCCCGCCCCCCCCTCCCCCCCGCGCCCCCCCCGCGGCCTCGTGCCGAATGCCGTCCGTTTCCGTCCGAGAGTGGGGCGGTCGGTCGTTCTTGCTGCTGGAGCCCGCTCGGGGGTGCTGCCGCTCCCCCGCCCCATTCCCTCGTCCTCCGCCTCTGCTGCTGCCGGCTGCTGCTGCCGGCTGCCGGCTGCTGCTGCTGCCGGCTGCTGGCTGCTGCTGCTGCTGCTGCTGCTGCCTGCTGCTGCTGCTGCTGCTGCTGCTGCTGCTGCTGCTGCTCCTCGGGCTCGGGCTGGTGGCACGCAAGTCGAGGTTCGACGTTGCCACCTTCCCCCCCCCAGGGGGCGGTCGCCCCTGGCGGTGGTGATCAAACTAGGACTAAATCGGGCATGTCCCTCTACAGGAGGAAGATCCAAAAGTATTCAAAACTGATCTGGGGACGATGTTTCGATTATGTTAGGCTATGTTTGAACATGTTTTGATTATGTTTCATTTTTCTTCCGAAACCACGCCTGTAGGAGGACATGCCCGACCTAAAACTAGGAGATCCGTACAAGTAAACTGGCAGGCGGGCGCGACGGGCGTAGGAAACCACCAGGGGGCGAGGTGACTACGTCCCCCAGCGCTTTTGCTGGGAGGGGGGTGCTCCAGGGGGCAGTGCGGGATCGCGAAGGTGACGGTGCTTCGTGCGGTGCACTGTCACTTTCGGGACCTCACAAGCCTCCGAGGCGACGACGACGACGACGACGACAATGACAATGACGACGAAGACGACGACGACGAGGTCCCGCAGGCCGAGATGTGAGATTGGAAATGCGCGGGTCCTCGAGCGGCCATCTCCCGGTTGCCCAGCAGGGAGCTGTCGCCTCAGGCCGAGCTCCGGAGGCTGGCACAGTCTGCTGGCACAATATGTGTCGATCGCCGCGCCCGCACGGGGCTGCGCGCGAAAGGCCGGCCCACCTTTGCTCAGGATCTTCCGGGGCTCAAGAGACGGGGGTCAATGCAAACGGGGGTCAGCCAGGGCACCGGATCCTGCAGGATCCTGCGAAGACCCCCTTTGGCTGACCCGGGTTAGCGAGCCGCTCGTGGCCGCGGGGCGGCCGCGCATATTGGCTGACCCGGGTTTGCGAAGACCTGCGTTGCAGTTTGTTTGGTCCTGCATTGCAGTTTTTTGGTTTCCTGCTGACCCGGGTCTGGATTGACCCGGGTCAGAAGATCCCCGAATTTTGCCTGGAATTTCGTCCTAGGCGTCTTGAGGATGTGGGGATGAGGAGGGCTGGGCGCAGCACGGGGTGAAGGCGCCTGGCCACAGTCACACGGGCGGCCAGGATCGCACGATTGACCATGACCGCATGATCTGCATTCGTGCGGCAGACCATGACCGCCCGACTTCCAGCGATCGTGCGGTCGGCCTTGACAGCGCCCCCTTGCATGCTCGTGCGATCGGCCACGCTCGAGCGATCGGCCGCGTTCGTGCGATTGCCCTTCTCTTCAGCGCTTTAGATTTCGTCTCGCCTGGGAGGAACGGACGATAACGGTCCGGCGGCAAGACAGCTTGCCGACTCCCCGCTCTTATTTCAAGCATCCGGCATCAGTGCATGGGGTCATCGTTGTCTGTGGAATAAAAGAAAGCGTTCGTGCGATTGCACGTGGTCGATTCCGGTGGGTGTAGCCAGAACCACGGTCGACTCTGTAGCGTCGCGATGGCGGTGGGTGCTATCTGGTTGGAGCGAGCGCCCCGGCGCCGCAGTCGAACGAGGTGTTGGCCAGCTGTTCGTGTTCGGTTGCGCGGCGCGCTGTTGTATTTCATTTAGAGAACTCCCGCGGACAGGGCCGATGGGGTCGAGCTGGGAAGGGCGGGGGGATTGCACTGGGGTCAGGGGTTGGTCGCGATTGGCCAGAGGCTTGCCACTACATCTCTGCGGCCCCCATTTGGGCCAATAGTGCATTCACATGCACATCTAGCCCTGCCTGTCTCAAGGTGAATCCGCTCAGGCTGCCCAACTTCGCCTTCGCGTGGCTAGACTTGATCAGCACCGCCCTCGGTTTGTGCAGAATAGTGCAGAACAAGTGGGTGTGGGAATTTTCAGGGGACGGCGTAGGTTGCAGAGAGCACCACGACGGAACGTGACTGTTAACACGGGTCCAAGCTTAGAGGTGACAGTTGTGTTCTTTGCAGCCGTCGTAAGAAATGGACGATTTTTTTCGCGGGGAGTGGTGATACATAGTGTCATTGTGTTTGCCGTGTCAGCACAAGTAGAGCTGAAACCATACATAGTGGTGCGACATGCGTTTAGAAACGAACAGCTGCAGTAGGTGAAACGATGAGTGCGAAGAGTACGGCGCATATGGCGACAAGGAAAGATGAGCACGATGATGTTCCAACCGACTCGAGCCTTCATCACCAGCAATAATTTCGAGCACCAAACAAATACCGAAGCTGGAGGGTCTTCGCGCGTCGGGGCCTGGGAGGCGATACTCGCTTGACGCTGTTTCGATACTTCTCTGGGCGCCCGAAATTAGTTCAAGGGTGTGGTCCTTCAGTGCGACGGGAGCAACATGAGATGAGCAGCGGATGGACACGAGGAGCACCAGGAAGGTCGGGAGCATCAGCGGGAGCACCACACCATGGGCCAAGCCAAAGTCGGCGGGCCCCGCCCAATGCCACCCTTTTTTTTTCGGGGGCGCCAAGAGGGGGGTGATGACTGGGGTTACGTCGGGCATGTCCCTCTACAGGAAGAATAATCCAACAGAGTTTAAAACGGGTATGGTGACGATGTTTGATTACCGTTGAATCTGTTTGAAGACATTTTGACTCTTTCCATTTTTCTTTAGAACAACCCGTCTGTAGGAGGACATGCCCGACCTAAGACTAGGGGGGGGGGATATCATGGCGGGGGGCATGATATCTCCCCAGATGTCATGGCGCCTCTTCTTAGTTCAATACGTCCCTGGCCCCCCCCCCTGGGCCGCGCACATGCCTCGGGCCATGACTTGCATCCCCCCCCTTGGACGCCCCCCTCTTGGACGCCCCCGATTCTTCCCACCACATAACAACCATCGCCTGAACATCAGGGCGTCAGGACTGGCGCGCGCCTTTCCTCTGGCCATAAGGAGGCCCTCGCGCTCGCGGCCCCGCCTCCCCGACGACTTTTGTCGATTAGAGTAATGGAACACGCGCGCAGGCGAGCGCGGAACTGTCAGACAGATCGTGCGCGGTGCTCTGGCGAGAACACCAGTCAGCCCTTCGTGCGCAGCACAGCTTCCAATACGATTGGCTAGGGCAAGAGATGCGCCACGCCCAACCAGGAACACATATTCCAAGCGAAATTTGCGCTGCGCTTGGGCGGGAGAGACATCTCGCTTCCGACGACTTGGCAAGCGACGAAAATGCGCTGCGCCAAAGCGGGAGCGTCACCTCGTGGCAACATCTGCGCGGCTTTTGAGCGTCATTAGTATTTCGCCCGCTCGCGCACGACTCCGCTGCCGACAAATTGGCGAGCGACAGTTGTGCGACGTGCCCAACTGGTGGCGCTACGTTCAAAACAACATCTTCATGGGTCTGAAGCGGAAGCGACTTCCGCTCTCTCGCGCGCAGCCACTCCCTCATAGCGGCACGGAGTTGCTTCCACGCTGCCGGGAGATCCGGGATATTATTGCGACCAAGGATGCTCTGGAACGCCACCTCGTGGCCAGCCCTCACTGCCGCGGTGGTTGCCCGCGTCGCCTCCGCACTCCAGTCATCCACGGTACAGCCATCCAAGGCGCGACCAGTTGCCGAAGGAGGACCAGCTCTGGCGCCGCGACCCGCAGCTCCAACCGCAGCGCCGCATGCGTGGCTAGCCCGAGGTCCCAGCGCATCCAGGCACTGGCCACCATCGCCTGGGCCTCGGCATTGCCCAGGACGTAGTCGATTCGCGAGGGGGCCCCGTGCGAAGGGATGCACGTGGGACCAGCGGCGGCAAGGAGGTCCTTTCAGTCCGCTGTGCCCACTGGGCCTTCCAGCTCAGAGTCGTTGAGACTGCAGTTGAGGTCGCCCGCCAAGGGCGCGGGCGCCCACAGAGGCCGCGCAACACTTCCAGTCCCTTCAGTAGCAGGTCGGCGTTGCGCTCCACGTCGCGATGGCCGCCAGCATATCCGTAGCAATTCAAATTGTGATTTGTGCACCAGGGGACGCAGTGCACGGCGAGGTGCTGGTGCCGCCAGCGACCTCTTACGCACACCTAGACGGGACCTGGTCGCGTCCCTACAGGTGGCTTCCAACTGCGCCACTGTCGCTACTTTCGTGGGCTCGTGGGAGGTCCAGCGGAGCGCTATCTTACGCGCGTCCGGCCGAGCTCTCGCTGCTCCCTTGGAGGCTGCCGCTCTGCGCTGCGCACATGTTGCCGCCTTCGTTGGTTTATGGGATGGCCCAGGGGGACAACACCAGACGCGGATCTAGACGATACTTGGCGGCTCCCTGGGTGGCTGCCACCCATCTGCGCCGCTGTCGCTACTTTCGTGGGTTCCTGGGGGGCCCAGCGGAGCGGTATCTTTTGCGCATCTGGCCGAGCTCTCGCGCCTCCCTGCTGGGTTGCCGCCTGCGCACATGTTGCGGCCTTCGTGGGCGAATGGGAGGCCAAGCGGGGCGACGCCACACGCGCATCCAGACGTTACCTCGCGGCTCACTTGGGGGCTGCCAGTTGCGCTCGCCACTTTCGTGGTTTTCTGGATTGCCCAGCGGAGCGACGTCAGACGCGCCTTCAGACTCGCGCTCCCAAGGGGGGTTGCCAACTGCGCTAGTGCCGCCGCGTTCGTGGGTTGCTGCGAGGCCCAGCGGAACCAGGCCATGCGCCCATGGGACCTCGCCCAACCGCGCTACTGCAGCGACGTAGTCCTGGGAGGCCCAGCGGAGCGACGCGTCATACGCACATCGGAGGGGGGCTACCTCGAGCCGCACGGTCGCCTCTGCAACTGGGAGGTCCAGCGGAGAGCGAGGCCTGCCGCGCATCCAGAAAAAGACCTGGCGGCCCCACATGAGGCTGCCACCTTCGCAGGTGTTGCAATTGTCCTCTGGGTCTGGGATGTCAAGCGGGGCGACACGTCATGCGCGCACTCGCATGAGACCTCTCGCTCTCTGGGGGGCTGCCAACTGTGCCACTGTCGCCGCTGTCGTGTGCTCCTGGGGAGCCCGGCGGAGCGACGTCGTACGCACATTCACATGAGACCTCGCGTCCCCTGGTCGGCTGCCTCCTGCGCCATTGTCGCTACTTTCGTCGGCTCCTGGGAGGTCCAGCGGAGCGGTATCTTTCGCGCATCCGGCCGAGCTCTCGCGGGTCCTTGGGCGGTTGCCGCCTGCGCACATGTTGCCGCCTTCGTGGGCGAATGGGAGGCCCAGGGGGACGACGCCACACGCGCATCCAAACGATACCTGGCGGCTCCCTGGGTGGCTGCTGCCTGCGCCACTGCGAGCTCTTGGGGGTCCCCTCGGAGCGACGCCACACGCACATCCTGATAGGACCTCGCAGCTCCCTAGGGGTCTGCGAGCTATGAAAGCGTCGCCATTTTTGCGGGGCCCTGGAGGTCCAGCGGAGCGGCGTCTCATTCGAATCCAAGCGAACGAGACCTGGCGGCGCCCTGGGGGTCTGCCACCTTCGCCACTGTCGTCACTTCCGCCGCGTCCTGACGCACATGCAGGCAAGACCTCGCGACTCACAGCCGGTCTGCCACCTGCGAAACCGTCGCCACTTTTTTTGACTCCTTGGATGTCCAGCGGAGCTCGCATCCACACGAGACGTGGCGGCTCCCTAAGGGGGCTGCCACCTGCGCAGTTTTCGCCACTTTCGTCGGGTCCCGTGAGGTCAGCGGGGCGGTGCCCCACGCGCATGCAGACAAGACCTCGTGGGTCCCTGTGGGGCTGCCGCCTGCGCAATTGTCGCCAACTGGCGTCACGCTCGTGGGCTTTTTAAATGATGACTTCCTGGCTGTTGCCTGGCACGCCACCTCATTTCATGTTTTGGTACTCGTCGTCCCTCCGTATTTCCCCCATCCATGTCCGATTATGTGCCAGTATATCATATCTTTTTCGCGAGGTGTGCAGCGTGTAGGCTTCCCTTGTAGCTTCGACAAGTGATCGCCTTTCTTGTCGCACCATCATCCGCTTGGGATGAGCCCACGGATGTTTGCATTTGATTTGGATGGGGTGAGTACGTTCCCGGGTGATTATTGATGGTTCCGATGGAGCGTCCAGGATTTAGTCGCTATGGGCCAGATAAGGGGGGCAATTTGGGAACATACACGAAGAAGGATGAGAAAGAAGGAGGAGCGAGGAGGAGCAGGATGAGGAGGAGGAGGGGGAGGAGGAGGAGGAGGAAAACGAGAATGCGGCGGACGAAGCGGTGACAGATACGTGGCGTCTGAGGAAGGTTTCGCGAGTTCGGCTCACTCACTTCCATGGCGGCGACGGTGGACCGCCTTCTGGACTGCCATAGCCTGGTGGTGGTGTCCTATGAGGGCGCCATTTGGACGAGCGCCAGCGCATCATTTTCAGGCCCAGCCTGGCAGATGCCAGGTCGATGCAGGGGTGAAGGAGAGGATACACTCCAGGGGCGATCCCCGATGTATGCACCGCTTGGCGGTCGTGGTAAGATTCAGGGACCCGAGGATGCAGT